AATAATCAAATTCAAAACAAATTAAAAATTATATATTATAAAATATAAACTATATACAAATGTGGCGAAAGATAATCGATGACTATATGTTGTACTGTCTGAATGATTTGTTTGAAATTAAATTGATTTTTTACGGTCTTAGTCGTATGTTGCAATTTTCTCAATTTGTATGGGCGCTAAGTTATTCGGTATTAGTCGTTTTTAACAATTTTCTCCTTATAGACGCAACAGATAGAAGTAAGATTAGTAGCGCTCAAAAGCGCTTTTTTATCGCATTAAGCCTATACCCCCTTTCATTTTTCGCGAACACTCCCTTTAAGGATTATGAAAGTGTTTTTATGTTTTATGTGATAATTAGGGGTTAAAGTTTAAACTTAAAGTTTATTACTTGATTATGGTTAAAAGTTCAAGGTAATTCATTTGTGAACTTTTTTTTGTATATTTATCCAGTTTGTTTTACGGAGATTGGAAACGAAGAAAATTAATAGAAATCTAAAAAAGACTTGCGAGCACCCTGTATAATTGCATCTACCTTCATTTATTTTATTTTGTAAATAATTCTAATTTATTCTGGGTCTTGTTTCCTGAGACAACCTGTAGATCTAATGTGTTCCAGATCTTAATTCTCTGAGACACCCTGAAGATCTAACGTGCTCTATGTCATGTTCCCTGAGACACCCTGTAGATCTAACGTGTTTCCGATCTTGTTTCTCTGAGACACCCTGTAGATCAAACGTGTTCCAGTTTTGTTTCCTGAGACACCCTGTAGATCTAATGTGTTCTAGATCTTGTTTCTATGAGACACTCTGTAGATCTAAAGTGTTCTAGATCTTGTTTTCTGAGACACCCTGTAAATCTAACGTGTTCTAGATCTTGTTTCTCTGAGACACCCTGTAAATCTAACGTGTTCTAGATCTTGTTTCTCTGAGACACCCTGTATATCTAACGTGTTCTAGATCTTGTTTCTCTGAGACACCCTGTAGATCTAACGTGTTCCTGCAGATCTTGTTTCTATGAGACACCTTGTATATATAACGTGTTCTAGATCTTGTGTTCCTGATAAACCCTGTAGATCTAACATGTTCTAGATCTTGTGTTCCTGATAAACCCTGTAGATCTAACATGTTCTAAATCTTGTATTCCTGATAAATCCTGTAAATCCAACATGTTCTAGATCTTGTGTTCCTGATAAACCCTGTAGATCTAACATGTTCTAGATCTTGTGTTCCTGATAAACCCTGTAGATCTAACATGTTCTAAATCTTGTGTTCCTGATAAACCCTGTAGATCTAACATGTTCTAAATCTTGTATTCCTGATAAATCCTGTAAATCCAACATGTTCTAAATCTTGTGTTCCTGATAAACCATGTAGATCCAACATGTTCTAGATCTTGTGTTCCTGATAAACCCTGTAAATCCAACATGTTCTAAATCTTGTGTTCCTGATAAACCCTGTAGATCTAACATGTTCTAGATCTTGTGTTCCTGATAAACCCTGTAGATCCAACATGTTCTAAATCTTGTGTTCCTGATAAACCCTGTAGATCTAACATGTTCTAGATCTTGTGTTCCTGATAAACCCTGTAGATCTAACATGTTCTAGATCTTGTGTTCCTGATAAACCCTGTAAATCGAACTGTTTCTAAATATTTTTCTACTTCTAAGAAAAGTCAGCTAGGCCCTGAATTGCACTAAATGCATTTCCGATTCATTTCCGATAAATAAAGTAGTAATCTCTGTTTGTCAGTATGTTTGTTTGTCCGATTATAACTCATGAACCCCATGACCGATTTGCCTCAGATATTCGTTGGTGGAACTCGGCAGAACCAAAAAGTTGTTTAACTTGGTTTCACAATTTTAATATACTTCTGTTTTAGAGATACTTCGCAGAATTCATGTAGCTCGCAGGATTCAACAAAGGTAGGAGTAAAACAATGAAATGAAAAAATATTTTAAAACCAATTTTGAGATGAAAATATAATTCTTTAAAAGACGATTTAAAGCTCAATTTGAAAATAATAATATTTGTCAAACGATTTTGTCTGTTCAAATTATTAGTGCACTTTAATTCATTTTCTGTTAATCCTAGTTTTAATAAAAATTGAAGGAAGATTCGACCTAATTTACAGTAACAACTGTAATCATTGCCGAGTCCAGAATAAATAAGATATTAATGTTTTGTTCTCCAAAAATCGATAATTTTTAACTGGGAAATCAGCATTTAACATTTTTTAGGATATATAAATCACGATTATTTCTCTATTTGCGGCATTTCTTCTTATAAGACAAGCGAAATGAAACAAAATAATCGTAGAATTTTCATATTTTGTGGATTTTGAAAAATAGTCAATTTTTCATTCTGCTTGTCTTTTCTTAAATGAATTTACTTTTAGGAAAATTGTGTCTTGCAGTCGTCTTCCAGTTTTCGTCACAGCAATCAGGGGTTTTCAGATCAATCAACGATCATTCTTTCGTCGCTGAATCGGCCAAAGACTCAAGCCCGACGAAAAAGTGATGATTTGATGAGATATTCGTACGCTTACAGGTATTATGTTTGTAAATGTCCGCCATTCTAAATACATTTACAGCCGATTTACTGAACGGCCGATACGGCCGTTTTTTAAATTTTCTTATCCATAGATCTGAAACTATAAATCTACGTTTTTGCAACAATCACATTCCACATAATTTGGGTTTGAGTTATTTTACAATTTCATTAAATTTAATGGAGGGGGGGGGGGAGTAGGATTTATTAAGGACTTAATAATGATTATTGCATTTTGAGGCCATAGAGTCATTTGTATGCTTTACATTCTGTTAACCAAAATTGATAAATAAACAGTCTATGAATATCATCAAAATGAGCAAGTAAATTAACCAAACCCACAATTAAATTTTGTGCAGATTACCTTATTATATTATAATCCACCTGTCTTGACCAAGCCTTTATTATTAATGCCTGATTTGATGTCTACACTGGTTTGTATGGAAGGTTGAAATATGCTTGTTTTAAAATATATTAAACCTGAAAAGAAACCATTATGGAAAAATACTGCAATGTAATTTGTTCTTGTAAAGTTATGCTCACTATTATGTCCTATCTTAAATCCATTTTTTAACAGTGTGACGTAAAAGGGTGTTCAAAAATTTCTATTATTTTTAAAAAACATTAAAAATTCGAATTAAAGGGACTCTTAGCGTGATTTCAAGATTTGAAATAGAGGCATGTCTGATTCACAAAGGTACCCCTGAAACTCCTATCTGGGTAACTATATGGAAAATTTTGTCTTTTTTCTGCAGCATAATTCCGCAAGTCATTCTTACTGCGAAACCATAATCGAATTTAATCAATTTTCGGCTAGAAGAAAATGGATTTAACGGGTGCCGTTGTGAATCGGATTTACCATTTCAGAGTCACTTAAAACTACGTCTACAGTTCCTTTAGAAACAAAAGTGCCCCAAATTGATTTCAATTTCAAAGCTCTTGCACAAATGCTCGGACACCCTACAGCGACATTATACTTTTTATGAATACATTAAACGTCTCCTAAACTGTAAGTATACGACTATGTGAGACCCAGTATGGGATGTTAAACATAGAAATAACAATGATTTAAAGGGACTGACACGTTTTTTCAAGGCAACCTCTTTATTACGTACAGTCGATTTACTTAAAGGTTGGTTTCTTTACGTAGTGATTTATGAAGCATAACTAAAAACAGAAAATTAACAAAATTAACAACTTTTAAAGCTGAAATTTTTTTGCCAATATGTTCCAAAAACCTTTCCTGGGGTGACACGAGGTCCCACAAAAATTTTGGGTCTGATTGGTTCAGCTGTTTTGACGTTTATTTGATAAAAAAACGTCTACAGCCCCTTTAAGCTGTTGCAAGATACAATTATGGGCCCAGAAATTGATGTCTATAATTGACTCATAACCTTATAATAGAATAATAGGCTGGGGTTGTAAACCTCAAATTATACTGTATTAAGATAGGATTGTAATATTGATAAATATCTATATAAATAGTACTTCCCTGGGAACCCGGCTTAGCGTGGAAACTAAACTTTATCTTTAAAAGTCAACCCACCCAACTTAGAATTTTTGAAGCGAGCTGAGAACATGTAATTCCGTTGTTCTAATAAGTTCCGCAATCAAAATGTTAGGCAAATTAGTCCAGGGGTTTCCGAGTTATGATCGGGCATACATACAAACACCCAAACAGAAATTACTACTTTATATATATAATATATAAAGGTATTATTATACACTGAACAGAAAAGTATAAATAGAATCATTGATCGTTGGAGTGGATTCAGTTTGAATTGATTGAAATGTAAATTAAAATATTGAATGTTTAAAGTAAATATATTTGTAATTTCAAGTTACCCTTCAGTTCTAGAACTTTTTCTTCAATTTATATACCTTATCAATATGTTAAAAATTACAAAATTTCCCCCGAAAATAGCTATAGAATAGCTAGAGTAAAGCTATAGAATAGCTAGAGAATAGCTAGATAATAGCTAGAGAATAGCTAGAGTAAAGCTATAGAATTGCTAGAGAATAGCTAGAGAATAGCTAGAGAATAGCTAGAGAATAGCTAGATAATAGCTAGAGAACAGCTAGAGAATAGCTAGAGAATAGCTAGAGTAAAGCTATATAATAGCTAGAAAATAGCTAGATAATAGCTAGAGAATAGCTAGAGAATAGCTAGATAATAGCTAGAGAATAGCTAGATAATAGCTGGAGAATAGCTAAAAAATAGCTAGAGTAAAGCTATAGAATAGCTAGAGAATAACTAGATAATAGCTAGAGAATAGCTAGAGAATAGCTAAAGAATAGCTAGAGAATAGCTAGATAATAGCTTTAGAAAAGTTAGAGAATGGCTAAAAAATAGCTAGAGAATAGCTAGAGAATAGCTAGAGAATAGCTAGAGAATAGCTAGAGAATAGCTAGAGAATAGCTAGAGAATAGCTAGAGAATAGCTAGAGAATAGCAAGAGAATAGCTAGAGAATAGCTAGAGAATAGCTAGATAATAGCTAGAGAATAGCTATAAAATAACTAGAGAATAACTGGAGAATAGTTAGAGAATAGCTAGAGAAATGCTAGAAAATAGCTAGAGAATAGCTAGAGAATAGCTAAAGAATAGCTAGAGAATAGCTATAGAATAGCTAGAGAATAGCTAGATAATAGATGGAGAATAGCTAGATAATAGCTAGAGAATAGCTAAAGAATAGCTAGAGTAAAGCTATAGATTAGCTAGAGAATAGCTAGATAATAGCTAGAGAATAGCTAGAGAATAGCTAAAGAATAGCTAGAGTAAAGCTATAGATTAGCTAGAGAATAGCTAGAGAATAGCTTTAGAAAAGCTAGAGAATGGCTAAAGAATAGCTAGCGAATAGCTAGAATATAGCCTTAGAATAGCTAGAGAATAGCTAGAGAATAGCTAGAGAATAGTTAGAGAATAGCTAGAGAATAGCTAGAGAATAGCTAGAGAATATCTAGAGAATAGTTAGAGAACAGCTATAGAATAGCAAAGCATTGCTAGTGAAAATCTAGATAATACCTTAAGAATAGCTAGGGAATAGCGAGGGAATAGCTAAATAATAGCTGGAGAATAGCTAAAGAATACCTAAAGAATAGCTAGAAAATAGCTAAAAATAGCTAGAGAATAGCTGGAGAACAGCTAGCAAATAGCTAGTAAATAGCTAGAGAATAGCTAGCAAATTGCTAAAGAATAGCTAGATAATACCTAAAGAAAAGCTAGAGAATAGCGAGAGAATAGATAAAGAATAGCTAGAGAATAGCTAGAGAAAAAATTAGGCGTATAGATAGATAGATAGATAGAAATCTTGATTGAATTCACATGTTCTTAATTTTATTGCTTTATATGATATTTCTTGTTTTTACAATCTTCATGGTAGATAGATAGATATATAGATAGATATTAAGATAGATAGAAAGAAAGATAGATAGATACTAAGATTCGTATTCATCTACAGAATGAGAATAAAAATAGCAAAGAATTGGGTCTGCCTTCAACTAATCCTATATTCTACAACTTGGTGTCGTAAAAATTTTCAAAAATCATCTGACGAATATTTTTGTATTCTAAAATTAACTTTTGAAAATCAAATAAACAGCTATTTTTTTCAATATTGTATAAGCATGGTGTCAATTTAAATTCGTGACTTGCTGAAATTGTTGCAAATATTGATGTTTTTGTGACATCCTTTTCTGTAATACATAGTAGAGGAGATTATACCCGTTGCATTTTATAAACATTTAATCTGACAGGTACAGGTGGAAGTTTTTGGTCGCCAGTTATTAAAAATCAGATACGTCATAACAAACAAATAAATAAAGTAACAAAAAAAGAAAACACAAATAAAACTGAATAAACTGATTGGCAGACGCGGCTTCCGAGGGGGGGGGGGGGAAAGCTTGACATCTCTTTAAAAATGGGGCCGAACTCCGGCCCCCCCCCCCATTGTTAGCCCTTTTTAATTTTGATTTTTAATTTTGCCAAATAATGATAAAAATTCCATTATAAAGATTCAGGAGGTGGGGGGGAGGGGTAACACATCCGCAATATTTTAAAAACGAAATCAAACATTGAACATTGCAGGCTTGAATTAATTTACAGCTTTTTACTCCGAAGAGGAGGATGGGGAAGGGAAGGGGCTCAATGGAGGGTTGTGGAACTTTATCATTCCTTGATCATAAAAGTAACAATTTTAGTAAATTCCGATAAAATGTTCAAACTTTTGAATAAAATCGTTTTGGATAATCTAAACTAAAATTAAGTTTAGTCAAAAGCCTAGCTGTAATCAACGTTAAAATGCATTAAATTACATAGGACTGAATTTGGTTATGTCTTTCTATTGTATTAAGGTCCTCTATTGTATTAAGGTCCTCTATTGTATTAAGGTCCTCTATTGTATTAAGGTCCTCTATTGTAATAAGGTCCTCTATTGTATTAAGGTCCTCTATTGTATTAAGGTCCTCTATTGTATTAAGGTCCTCTATTGTATTAAGGTCCTCTATTGTATTAAGGTCCAAATTTTTGTATTTTTAATCTTTTTAAAAAATTAATATTCTTTTGCCGGTTTATTGGACTAAGTTAAATCCTTTTGGATATCAAAGTGGGTCTTAGAAATATGAGCCTGTGGTTAAACCACAGATCAACGAATTTAGCACTTAATCACTTTAAATTAAAGTAAACTAAGAGTTCAGGCGTCATTGGCATTTAAAAGTTCTTCCCTCTGAAGTTCACAGAATTGGAACACCTTGACTTGGCACGAAGTTGAAACTAATCAGTAACCAATAATATTTTACCAATTTTACTAATTTTAACCAAAATTAATTCAGACCAGCTCCCAACACAATACGCATAATACTAAGGTAGGAGTACACTTCATACAGTCGTCGTCGCATATATATCAATACAATGAAGACGTTGGATTTCAATTTTGATTTCTAACAAGTTTTGTATAAGTATGGATACACATAAATAAATAAACAAAGAGAAACTGCCAATTAACAGCTTTTCATTGTTTACTTGTTAGCTTGTAACTCAAAAAAATAATAAAAATATGTCTTCATGGTATTAATATAAACGTCGATTGTAAATTATTAAGAATATACTTTAATTCTTGGAGCATAACAAATCTTGGAGTAAGTTTATATAATCCTTGGAGTACATATTTATATAATTCTCGGAGTACATTTATATCCTTGGAGTGCATTTATGTATGTAATACGTCTGTACATTTATATAATTCTTTGAGTACATATTTATAATTTTTGAAGTATATTTATACAATTTTTGAAGTACATTTACACAACTTTTGAAGTACATTTATATAGACCTTGGAGAAAATTAACATTATGCTTGGAGTACGTTCCTAAAATTCTAGAACTAAATACAATACTTATAAGTATACATTTATATACCTTTCTCTGATCAGAGCCCAAAATTTAGAAGATTTGAACGAAACCATCGAGTTTACTTTTTGGGGTTAGCATTTGTATAGATTTTGATTTAAGAGATTTAAAAAAATTCGCGAAACCCGGGTTTCAAAACTGGTTTTATAACGATACCTTGTCGTTTTGGGCTCAGGGGTGAACATACTTTCAGATCTTTTTAAGTTCAAACTTTATGCATGCTTAGTTTAAAGGGACTGTAAATATAATTCTCCATGTGATCCTCCATTTATTAAATGTTATTTATGATTCACAACAGTACCCAGCAAATCTGAGCAATGTCTCTGTTGCATAAATTCTTCTTAAAAATAAGGTTTTTAGTCCCTTTAATTATATAAAAACATTTGGCTTTGAAGATTAATTCACATTGAAAGATGGATAGAAAACGACACTGCAGATTGATGTATAGACAAATTATGAATTTTGATAAATAGATCCACATCTAGATTACTTTCATCCAACTAATCTTATGCTTCAATGCACCAACCCATATATTTAATAATAATATTTAATTTAATATAATTACACTTCTTGTATCTGCGTTTAGATTGCAAGTTGGGCAATGGGCAAGGAAGTGGCATTTACCATTCAGTTAGCGAGAGGCATGTCTAATTTACAACGGTACCCTTTAAACCTTTGTCTTATTCGGCAGAAGCAATTAAAGAAATAGTCTGATTTTACACAACAGAAAAAAGTTGCTCTCTTCCTCATTCTTCCAACTCAGAAATCAGATAAAATGTTTAAAGGGCACCGTTTTGATTTGTACATTTTACTTTTCAAATAAAGGGAGGACTTGAAATTTTGCCTTCTGTCCCTTTACAGGCAGGGATCGATGATAATGTTTTTTCTAGATACAGCCGTAGTCTTGCGTGATGTGCTTAATTTGATTATCTGCATATATTTCCAGATATTTTATATTTTCATTTTACGATACTTCTTTTTAAAGCGTTAAACTTTCTTCTAAAAACATGATTTTGTTATATATTGTTATGCTTTAAATTGGCCTAAATATATTTTAAGGAGAAATCAATTTTGGTCTTCTGTATTAAAATATGTTATGCAAATTTTGAGGAAAAAATCTCACAAACCCAACCCCCAAAATATCCGTAAAATTGTTCAGCCGAGTAAAACCGGTGTTCATTTGAATATTCGAGCTGGGTCAACCTTTCCGATCCTAGTTTTGACTGTACCGCCGATTTGCAATTACTAATGCGGCAGACCTGCGTGTAGCGTCTCCACGTTTCTTCTTTTGTGTTACACTTCATTTGTTCAGTTGCACCATTTTGTAAGCTTACGTATTGAAATAATAAGCAAAAGAAAAGAATAAGTAATCATTAAATAAATGACGTAAATTTATCAGTTTCTATGTTACTAATGTGGTCTTAAAAATCGTCAAATTACTCAAAACTTTAAATAACAGAGATGGTTAAAAATATCCTATTTTACCGACGGGGGAATTCATTTCCAGAAATGAGCCTTTTTTATTGGCATTTTATTTGTTAAATCTAAATATAAACATAGTAAAAAAATACAAGTTCTGTAATATTTATTGAGAGTCCATAAAGTTTACAGATTTCTTAGCCTCAGGCATCAGTCATGGCTCCAGGCAATTGCTTTCTCACGCTTCACATTATTCTATCAAAACTGATATATCTATCGATATATCTATCTATCTCTATCTATCTACTTATCCTTCTATCTATCTTTCTATCTATCTATCTATCTATCTATCTATCTATCTATCTATCTATCTATCTTTCTATCTATCTATCTATCTATCTATCTATCTATCTATCTATCTATCTATCTATCTATCTATGTATCTATCTACATATTTATCTATTTTCTACATATTTATCTATCTATCTACTTATCCTTCTATCTATCTAGCTATCTATCTATCTATATATCTACATATTTATCTATCTATCTATTTATATATCTATCTATCTATCTATCTATCTATCTATCCATTTATCTATAGAGTAACCCTGATATAAAGTCTATAAAACGATGGCCCTCAAATGTATCTTGAGTTTTGTAGTAGATGATAAACGTAATTGCAATGCCATTGTATACATTTGATACATTGTATACATTATAGTATTGTATGTATTGTATACAATGTATATAAAGCTCTAACAGACCACTATACAAATATAAAAATCTTCAATGCGGTATGAAAATAACTAAGCATCAGCAGTAAAGATGAAAAATAAAGATTAGAAATGACACTTAAAAATGAATTTGTACTCATAAGCATCTATTATTCTATCAAATTGTTTGTAAAGTTTAAGTACTGGCACGAGAAAACAACACAACAATACTTCTATGTGGAGAGAGGGGGGGATTTTTATCAAGGAGTTTGTGTTAAACATTTTTTAAATGTTTTAAGAACAAAACATCATAATATGTTTATGTTTTTAGTGATTTGAAGAGCCCGGCCCAAATCCTGCTTTCCGAAAACATTTACGAGGAAATTAGAACACCGCCGTTAAACTCTCTTGAAGGTTCAAGTTCAGATTCATCAACGACATTCTTGGATTCTTCCACAGAAACGGACTCCACAAAATCTACGAATACGACTCAGCGAAATCTAAAGAATGCGGGAAAAAAATTAAGAAATGCACCGCGGCAATCAAGAAAGTCAGCTGGTAGCTTGGACAGTACAAGCAAAGGAAAATTGAATTTAACATTTAAATTATAATGATAAAATTCTTGTAAATTCTTTATACTTTCTTAAATTTTTTTTGTTAAACTAAAAATTTGATTTTCTGATAGAATCCGTCTCAAGTGGGTCAGATTACGAGTTGACCGATTCATTATCTCGCCGCGCATTATTTCGAAGCCTTTCCAAGGTTAGTTTTTGAATATGTAATCAAAATAAATACATTACAGGCGTTGTGTTCAGAAGCTAATGAGTTCAGTATTTATTGATTGTAGGTTTATATTTGTAAAAATATGGTCTGAGTCTGACATTGAATAATGTTTACAGGTTTATTCGGCGCAGCCAACATAATTAGTAGTAAGATAAATCTACTAAATATACGCTAGATAACAAAAACATGAAACATTATATTTATGATCCGTCTGCATAGAGCTGCAGTAAGAGCTTCCTCCTTCTCCCCCCCCCTCTCTCCCAATCGCATGCGCATTTACTTTTGACACCATTATATTTAAGCATATTTAAGAATGGGAATTTGGCAGAGGCGTATTCAGGGGGGGGGGATATTGGGGCTAAGCCCCCCTGGACCAGTGAAATCTATTGATTTCAGGGGGTTTTTATGCCCCAACGGGTGCTGAGGAGCCCCCCCTGGAAAGAAAAAAATGTAAGCCCCCCCTGGACAAATTTCTGAATACGCCCCTGGAACCCGGCTTAACTTATCTGTAGTACGATTTTAGTAAGATTTATTGTGGCGAACCATGTACACTCTGTGCTTTATGTTCGATTTCAGGGATTAATATTCACCCGTAAGGGACCTTAACAAAATATACAACAAAAAAAAACAATTATATTTTTGAAATAAAACAAAACAAAATTACGGAACACAAAAAAGGGTTTGTTTTAGAATAATGAAAAAAAAACTTTTGATCCATAAACAATGAACAAACACGGTTTCGTGATAGACCCCTTGCCCCTTGGTTAAAAGAGTGTGCGAGAAAAAATGGCAACTGTTTGTGCTTTGTATTTTATTTTAAGACACCCCTTTTTAAAAAGTTAACATAAATTCCTCTCAAATTACCAAATCAAATATTTTGGCACGTTCCAATTTGATATACCGATGCAATACAAATAAAAAAAGGCAAAACCTAGATTTTATATTCGTATTTAACTATTTTATTTCCATACAAAAACATACACTTTTTCCCTACTTTGACAAACCCTTCTCTTCAAATATATTTGAGTCATACAAATATAATTAATTCGTTTTCAATAGATTTTTAATTGTAACGCTTTTTCTCATTACTTTATAGATAAAAGTTAAAAGGAACAATAAGGAATCCGCTTTAATTGGAGGGTCAATTTAAATTACGTCCACAGTCCCTTAAAAAGGAAACCAACGCAAACCGTTAAATATTCGTATTTGCTTCAAGTTTGGTAGATTGTTCCTTTAAGCACTAATCATGAAGGCTGTGAACTGAGAAGGGTGATCATTCCTATTGACAAGGTTTGGCACTTTAACAACCGTATCCACGGACCACAGTCATCCAAATGTGCACAATTTAAAGGGACTGTGTGCATCTTTAGACAGACCCTTCATTCAGCGCATTTCTTGCTTTAGAAACACTGGAGAAATTAATAGAATATGCACTGCCAAGCTAAAAACGGGTACCGTTGTAAATCGGACATACCCCTCTTTGAATTAAGGGTAACCTAAAATTACTATTTATCTATCCGAATTTTGTCATTTACAAACTGAAGCTAGAAACAAGATTGCTATAGTGTTGAAAGTTTCATGTCTAGGGCTATTCAAGTTGTACGTCAATTAGAAAAGTAAAACCAAAGGCTAAGGCGTGGCGATACTTAAAAGTTGACGCTGTCACTGAAATTGATGCACACTTTTCATAACTGCTTGGATCTATGTGCACCCTGGGCCCGCTGTAGACAAGCCTATACTAGATCTGGCAAAATTCCATAATCATTAGAGGAACATTAGAGGAAACATTAGAGGAAACATTAGAGGAATCATTAGAGGAAACATTAGAGGAATCATTAGAGGAAACATTAAAGGAAACATTAGAGGAAACATTAGAGGAAACATTAGAGAAACCATTAGAGGAATCATTAGAGGAAACATTATTTAAAAAATTAGAGGAAACATTAGATGAAACATTAGATGAAACATTAGATGAAACATTAGAGGAAACATTAGAGAAAACATTAGATAAAACATTAGATAAAACATTAGAGAAAAATTTGAGAAAACATTAGATGAACGTTAGATGAAACATTAGAGGAAACATTAGAGTAAAAATTAGAGATAACATTAGATGAAACGTTAGAGGAAACATTAGAAGAATCATTAGAGGAAACATTAGAGAAAACATTAGAGGAAACGTTAGAGGAAACATTAGAGAAAACATAGGAAACATTAGAGGAAATATTAGAGGAAACATTAGATGAAACATTAGAGGAAACATTAGAGGAAACATTAGAGAAAAAATAGAGGAAACATTAGAGGAAACATTAGAGGAAACATTAGAGAAAAAATAGAGGAAACATTAGAGGAAACATTAGAGGAAACATTAAAGGAAACATTAGAGGAAACAGTAGAGGAAACATTAGATGAAACATTAGAGGAAACATTAGAGGAAACATTAGAGAAAAAATAGAGGAAACATTAGAGGAAACGTTAGAGAAAACATTAGAGGAAACATTAGAGGAAACATTAAAGAAAACATTAGAGGAAAAATTAGAGGAAACCTTAAAGGAAACATTAGAGGAAACATTAGAGGAAACATTAGAGGAAACATTAGAGGAAACATTAGAGGAAACATTAGAGGAAACATTAGAGAAAAAATAGAGGAAACATTAGAGGAAACATTAGAGAAAACATTAGAGGAAACATTAGAGAAACATTAAAGGAAACATTAGAGGAAAAATTAGAGGAAACGTTAAAGGAAACATTAGAGGAAACATTAGAGGAAACATTAGAGGAAACATTAGATGAAACATTAGAGGAAACATTAAAGGAAACATTAGAGAAAAAATAGAGGAAACATTAGAGGAAACATTAGAGAAAACATTAGAGGAAACATTAGAGGAAACATTAAAGGAAACATTAGAGGAAAAATTAGAGGAAACGTTAAAGGAAACATTAGAGGAAACGTTCACTAACTTTGACAACAATACAATGAAGACAACTTTTAATTTCAATTTTGATTTACAATCTGTTAAACTTTATGGATCATTGAAGTCAAGAGGGCGAGGCTGTCAATTAAAAACGCTTCTTTTTAATTACTTATAAACTTGTAATTCAAAAAAGATTGTTAACAATCAAACTTAAATAAAAAAGTCATTGTATTGATTTAATCGTCTAGGGATGTTTTCTTATTTGTACAAAAACATGCTTTATTTATGTAAAGTGTTTAATATTTTTGCTAGCCTTTACTGTTTACAATTACATTCTAAACGCTTTGAATATCCCCCGGATAAAGGAATTCCGTTTTTTCCGTTCTCTGATAAATTCTATTCTCATTTTCATATGTTTTCAAGAAAATAGACCTGGGATATTTCAAACTATTAATTCTGTCATAAAGTATAACTTTGAAACATCAAACCATCAAGTTGCAAAGATATTGTTATTCGAAAACTTGAGTTTGTGGCATAGACTCAATTTCTTTACTTGAAGGGTTGTGTCGTGTAATTTAATATTTGTGGAATTATTTAAAACTGCATAGGGAATGAATATTTAAATACAACAAATTAAACTACAAACAGGGATATAAACAGGGATATAAACAGGGATACAAACAGGGATACAAACAGGGATACAAACAGGGATACAAACAGGGATGCAAACAGAGATACAAACAGGGATATAAACAGGGATATAAACAGAGATATAAACAGGGATATAAACAGGGATATAAACAGGGATACAAACAGGGATACAAACAGGGATACAAACAGGGATACAAACAGGGATATAAACAGGGATATAAACAGGGATATAAACAGGGATACAAACAGGGATACAAACAGGGATACAAACAGGGATACAAAC